GATGGCGTCTCGACAACAGTTCAGTGATTTACTTCTTTACCCCAGAACCATGGTTTCTGAGAAGAAAAATCTCCAAGCTAACATTTCTCTCTTATGCTGGTATAGCAATAAATTCATGCAATTAAGCCGAGCAGTGATTGGTGCTGCATTAAACAATAATAATTTAATTCACTGACACGATTTGGAGAATGCTTTTCAAAACTGCATAAAGACCGGAAGTATCATTAATGAGGGTCATATTGACTTACGAAACTTTCTACATGATGCTAAAAAGATGCTTATCGAAAAAATTCAAACTACTTTAAAATCTGAAGGTAGTATTAAAGTGAGCACAACTTTAATATGCAAATTTGAAAATTAAAAAATAATCAACGAGTTGAAGAGAATAAATCTTTTAAGACTCCAACTGTTGATATTTTACTCTCAACATCACTCGAAAATTGGTTTAAAGAAGATGTTTATAATACCATTCTTCGAAAAATTGAAGAATTTAATGAAAAGGACTCCGGATGGAGTTTAAGTGAAGTTATAAACTTGGATGTTAATATCTCCCGATATGCTCCAATTCATGGTGGTTTTTCAACGTTCATCCCATTGCCAAAGAATATAAGTGATACAGGTGGTGTCTTGAACATTTAGAATAATGATATGTACTGTTTTTTGTGGTGTATTAAAGCTGCATTGTTCCCTGTAAAGAAAAACCCGTATCGTGTTTCATCATACAAAAACTTAGATGATAAGTTTATTCTTAAAGATATTAAATTTCCGATTTCTTTAAAAGATGTTGCAAAATTTGGAAAATTAAATAAATTAAAAATAAATGTTTATGGTATAGAAATAGAAATTGTCGATGTTAAAAATAATCAAACAAATAAAAGTATTGTTCGTCCATTATATTTAAGCAACAATATCTCAGATAAAGAAACAATTCATCTTCTAATGGTAGAATCTGGAAGATGTTTCTATGATGATAAAAATAATGATAATGATATAAAGTATGAAAATCTTAAAAAATTTTCAAACAGTTTTCCACTTTGCTCTTATCAGAAATTTATCGCGACTTTTAAAATCACAAATTTCTAAAGGACATTCAAAATTATGGTTCTGTGATTGTTGTCTGTGTCATTTTAAATTTCAAAAGTCACTTCAAAAACATCAGCTGGATTGTATAAAATTAAATAATGTTAGAATGAAATTACCTCAGACAGATGAAGAAAAAATCTTAAGTTTTAAAAATTACAAATATAAAGACCCAGTACCGTTTATTGTCTATGCTGATATTGAATGCATTCTTAGCCCTGTAAATGAGAATACAGAAAAACATATTCCATTCAGTGCTGCATATTATGTTCATTGTAATTATGATGATTCTCTTTCTAAATTTGCACTCAATCGCTCGCCAGATTGTGTAAACTGGCTAGCCAGCGAATTAGAATGCTTAGTTAGAAAATTAAATAATTTATTAAAAAATGTAATCCCTATGAAAAAACTTACTCCAGAAGAAGAGAATTATCATAAAACTGCTGAAAATTGTCATATATGCGGAAAAATGTTTAAATCTAAAGATGAAATACGATGTAAAGATCATAATCATTTTACTGGTAAATATAGAGGTCCGAGTCATCAGTCATGTAACATTAATTATAAACAGTCTCATACAATTCCTATAGTATTTCACAATTTATCTGGATACGATTCACATTTCATTAAAAGCTCATTAGCAACAGCCTTTAAAGGTAACTTAAATATTTTACCTGTGAACAAAGAGAGGTATATTTCATTTTCTAAATCTATAGGGGGCACCTCTGTAAATTGACGGTTCATAGATTCTTTTCGCTTTATGGCATCGAGCATTGATAAGCTAGCGTCCAACCTTACCGATAATGACAAAAGCATTACTCAAAAATATTATAAAAATATTGATGAGTTCAAATTAGTTACCCGCAAAGGTGTATTTCTTTATGAATATATTGACTCAATCGATAAATTAAACTATGATCGTTTACCAGAAAAAAAAAATTTTACTCGAAACTTAATGATGACAATATTTCTGATGCGGATTATCAACATGCTCAACATGTATGGGATAAGTTTAACATAAAAACTTTAGGTGAATATTCGGATCTATACTTAAAAACTGATGTATTGTTACTTGCAGATATTTTCGAGAATTTCCTTTATAATTGTTATGACCTATGAATTAGATCCAGCACATTGTTATACAATTCCAGGATTAGCTTTCGATGCGATGCTGAAGCATACAGGTGTTAAATTAGACATATTAGATGATGCTGAAATTATACTTTCCTTTGAGAAAGGTATTCGAGGCGGTGTTTCACAGTGTACAAACCGATATGCTAAAGCAAATAATCGATTTATGAGAACAATAGTAAAGATGAGAACAATGGTAAAATTATGACTGAGTTTGTTGGTTTAAGAGCTAAGCTCTATGCTTATAAAGTTCCTGATTGTTATAAGCCTGCAGATAGAATTAAAAAGAGAGCAAAAGGTGTTAAAGGTGCAGTTGTACGGAAAATCAAGTTTGATGATTATAAAGAGTGTCTAATGAATCATATTAACATTAGACGTCATCAATATATTATCAAAAGTAGCAAGCATAAAGTAGAAACAATTAAACAAGAAAAATTAGCATTAAGTTGGGAGGATAATAAAAGAAAGTTAATCGATGATTCAACCGATACTTTACCTTGGGGGTATAAAGAAACTCCTAATAAACGAGCTAGATATAATTAGGAATCCTGTAAATGTATATAGATCTATTCAATATTTATATTTTACGCTAATAAATGTAATTAGATTAAGGATTTTTTCAATAAAAGAACAAAACTTGAAATTATTTCTTTTGTTTAACAATTTATTTATCCATTACATATCAGATTTATCCATTTCATATCAGATTTATTAATCCAGCTGTTATGTGAATTGTCAAAACCTAACCACTTAACATATGCCTTGTTCCCACATTCCTTGATAATTTTCTCGACTAAATATATATCATCATATTTTACTTTGTTAAGTTCTTCTGTATAAAAGCCCCCCTGAATCGGCTGATCCTGGTAGTCAACCAATTTATAAGTTGTAGGATTTGTTTTTTGCATAGTCTTGATAGCAAAAATTTCTGTTGTCCAGTTTGGTGTGTATCCTTTCTCGAATATATGTTTATACTTGCTTATACGAACTTTAAATTTAGTTTTCAGCATGAGAGGTTTCTTTTGAAGAGGTTCATATATCAATTGCAGCAGTTGTTTTTCTTTATTAGCAGTTACATCGACTGGCTTCATTTTAATTGTTCGATGTTTAGTGTTATTATAAGTATTCACCAAATCAGGAAGCATGTCAACCCATTTATAAGTACCTCGACTGGTAAATTGCTGCCACATTTTATTTTTGAGTGTTCGATTAAATCGTTCACATATTGAAGCTTTCAAATTGCTGAATGTTGAGTACATGTTAATTTTGTATTGTTTCATAAGGTTTTTAAATTCTGTGTTATAAAACTCTTTCCCACTATCAACATGTAGATTTTGTGGTTTGTGGCCTTTTTGAAGTACACTTTTCATTGCATTTTTAACATCATCAGCACTTTTGCTTTTAATGGGGGCCACCCATGCATACTTTGAAAAAATATCTATTATTGTAAGCAAATATTTATACCCATTATTTAATTTAGAATATGGAATCATCTCAACCAAGTCAGCTTGCCATGTTTCATCAATCCTACGTATGTCAACATGACGACGAGGATAATTTCGTCGAGCTAATCGGTGAAGCTCTCTAGCAATAACTTCTTTTTTATCAACCATTTTTAGCAATTTCAGATATCTTTTTTGCGTTTTCTTTTATCCTTTCCTCATCACGCAACAATGACCTAACTAATGAACTAAGACGACTTTCCAATTTATTTATCTTATTTTCTTGATTATTAATAATATTATTCAATGTGTTCACTTTAGCTTCCAATTAGTGAATGATGTTATTTATTACGGTGATTGATTTAAAAGACTTATCATTACCTGTTTTGTCGAAAACTATCCAATGCGGATAATTCCCGTAATTGTTTTAAATTATACGATAAAGTTGGGATTAGGAAATTAAATAATAATACTTGGATTTTTTGGGGAACAATTTAGAAGAATTTATTTGTGCCCAAAGGAGGAAAACCCAGCTAGGCTGGGAAAAACCTCCTTGATAAAATTATACAAGTAAATTGTGTATGTGTAAGTGTGAATGTGTAAAATTACGTTGCGATAACGCAATAGGGGTGAGCTCAGCCGCCTTAGATAGAAAATTATCGATAATTTGAATTAGATAAGTCCCAAGGTGGGAGCTGGTAATATCTAATTAATTTGAACTGTCTCAGAGTGAGAGCTATTAATGTTCAATTGTCTCTAGGTGAGAGCTAATAATATTCAATTGTCTCTAGGTGAGAGCTAATAATATTCAATTGATAACAGAATGTTAGTCAATTGAGTTTGATGTTTTTCGTGTAGAAATTAGTCAAATGATTTGAAATTGGAATTTAATTATTTATAAGTTAAATTAAATAAGATCGTAATTAAATGTTAATAATTGATTTAATGTTATTAATTGTTAATATCACGCGTCAATTATGGATTGACTAAAGCCGCGTGGCTGATGCAATCCTTTGTTAACGGTGGCGCGTAATGGCCGCGTGGCGTCACTAAATAAATTTACTTGATTTTACTTATTTATGTTAATTCACTGAACTATTAAACTGATTTAAATGAATTGAGAATTTAAAATATAATTCAATCTACTATAATTATTTATATTTAATGAATAATTTAAATATTTGAATGGATGTGAGATGCAAGTAAGAAATATCAGAATTAATTAGCACAGAGTAGTCGTACTAGTACAAAAGTCCAAGAACAACTGTTGCAGCAGACCACGCGAGCCGGCTTCTCTACCGCTAACCAAGGCGCGCATGAGCGACGGCCATAGCGTGATACGATTATTCCCAAGTTTATACGATTATTCCCGAGTTTTAACGATTAAGCCCGAAGGCGTAATTCTTCTTATAAGTATTTGACTAGATCTTTTTTCTAGCGGTTAAACATACTCCCCCCGTTGCGAAGGTTGAGCAAGATGTTATGAATAGTGTTTACAATTAGTGATATTACATGATTACAATATTTTGAATTTACAGATTTTAAGAATTGATTGGTAACGGACATAACAGAGTAATATTCCGTTTGTATATGCCTTGAGCCGTTCGAATTGAAGCCACTCGTGTTATGTTATCCTCTCCTGGATGAATCTCGATCACTACTCCCAGCTGCCACCGCATACAGGGTTGGTTTTTGTCCATTAGTAAGACAATTTGATTGACTTTAATATCCCCTCGATTGGAGTCCCATTTTTGCCTGGTCTGCAATTCATGAAGGTATTCCAAATACCAGCGTTTCCAGAAATCCTGTCGAGCCTTGACAGTGAATTGCCATGAGCTTAGTCTATTATCTGGAATGTCAGAAAAATCATTTTCCGGTAGCATAGTGAGAGGACGACCTATTAAAATGTGTGCAGGAGTTAAAGCAATAGGATCATTAGGATCACTTGACAATGAACATAAAGGACGAGAATTTAATATAGCTTCTATTTAAATAGCTAGAGAATTTAATTCTTCAAATGTTAAAAGTTGTTCTTTCACTACTCGTTTAAAATGATGTTTAAATGACTTGACTGCCGCCTCCCAGATACCACCGAAATGAGGAGATAAAGGTGGATTGAATTTCCAGATAATGTTTTTCTTTATTGCATAATTGTTAACAATGTCCTGATGGGACTTAGAGTTGAATAGTTGGTAAAGTTCTATTAATTGATTATTTGCACCCACAAAATTGGTACCATTATCAGAATATACATGAGATGGAACCCCTCTTCTACCAATAAAACGTCCGAAAGCTCCTAAGAAACCCTCGGTAGTTAAGTCACTTACGATTTCTAAATGAACGGCCTTAGTAGTCATACAAACAAAAACACATCCATAGACCTTTACTTTAGTTCTGTTTCGAAATTTGCGTTCTTTGATAAAAAGAGGT